GGGTTTAGGGTTTAGGGTATACACATCAAGATAACTGCAAAAACAAAACCCCGCGGAAGAGGAGAAAACCAAAGACGGACGCGGATGGCTAGAAACACACGAGTAGCTAAAGCAATGCCACGATGGGCTGTGGATGGCCTTCCGTTACAACCCTCAAGCCCTGAAGCCCAAGTCCCTCAAACCTAAACCCTAAAACCTTAAGAGATAAACCTGCCTGGTCACAAACGCAGGCCCCACGGTAGCCCTTTCTGAAGCTTAAAGCCCCAGAAGCCCTAAACCCTAGTGCCCTAGACCCTAAAGCCTAAACCCAAAAAAAACGAGACCCTAAACCCTAAGGCCTAAACCCTAAATCCCCACACACCGAAACCCTAAACCCTAAACCCCTACATCCCTAAATCCCTATAAGCCCTAAACCCCAAACCTTAAACCCTAAACCCTAAACCCTAAACCCTAAACCCCAAACCCTAAATCCCTAAAATCCTAAACCCTAAACCCCTAAACCCTAAAACCCTAAACCCCAAACCCTAAAACCCTAAACCCCAAACCCCCAAACTCCAATTGTCCCAACAGCAACCAAGGCGCCGAGCCCAACTCGTTCTTAGCATCTCCGAAGTCGTAGGTGTCCTTAGGGCTTAAGGCAGCGTTTAGGGTTTAGGGCTTAGGGTTTAGGGGGTTTGGGTTTAGGGGTTAGGGCTTATATAGGTTTAGGGTTTAGGGCTTATAGGGTTTAGGGGGCTAGGGTTTAGGGGTTTCGGGTTTAGGGGTTTTAGGGTTTAGGGGTTTTAGGGGTTTAGGGGTTTAGCGGTTTAGGGGTTTAGCGGTTTAGCGGTTTAGCGGTTTAGGGTTCTGGGGTTTGGGGTCTAGGGCTTGGGGGATGGGGTTTAGCGCTTCGGTGAGAGGAATGTAGAGGTTAGGGCTCTCATACTCGAGGGCTTCAGGGTTTAGGGGAAAGGAATGGAGTTTAGGGTTTAGGATTTGGGGTGAGAGGAGAGGGAAGTCTTGGACTCAGGGTTTTGGGGTTTGGGGGTTTCGGGCTGCCGGGTTTGGTTTAGGGTTTAGGGTTAAGGGTTTAGGGTTTAGGGTTAAGGGTTTAGGGTTTAGGGGGTTTAGTTTCGAGGGCATGGGGCTCAGAGGAAGTGCACCGGATTTAGGATTTAGAATCTAGAGGGTTGAGGTGTTGGGATGATGAGAGCGGGATTGTTAGCAAGGTTCTGTAGGCTTTCTGATCTGACAAAAAAAATGTATGCGAGATTTATGAAAGGCTGAATTCATTCCTACTGCAGGGATTATAGCCTCTACTCCCCAACTGAAATGCCTTTCTTTGGTTACCTTCTCGTCCGTCCTGACCATAGAACAGGTTAACTCTGGAAAGGGAATACTTACATCGAAGAGTAGAAGTCGTTGTCAAGGCATTCAGCACGGTAGGATTCCTTGATACTGTTCAAGACACCCAGAAGAAAGCCTAAACCCTAAACCCTAAACCCTAAACCCTAATCACCTGCTCGGAAATTGGAACGCCTGAGAAGCTCGTCAGCTTAATAGTCGTCGTTGTGTTGGGTGCGCGGGGCCGGGTTTGTAGGATATGGGGCCTAGGAATGATTAGACCTAGGGCGCATAAGCATCTTGTTTAAGCAACTTCTCAGGACTTTGTGGATGGAAATGGTTGAAGCTTGAGATCATGTGTATGTATATATATATATATATATATAGTGTATATATATATATATGTATATGTATGTATATCTGTGTACATAATGTACATACACATACATATATACACCATGTATTACCATTCTATAACACTGCTACAAGTTTCAGGACACTCGGGACACGAAGACAAGATGACGAGCAGTCAAGGCAAGGAACTCCGTTGCCCCAGCCGTGCCAGTGAAACGCACCTGCCCGTGCATGGGGCATCCATAGGGTTACGGGCGTAGGGCTTTTATGGTTTAGGGTTTAGGGTTCACACTGGATGCCAACTCCCTGCATCTCGCTTCGCCAAAAAGATTGAAGTCCGCCTGTAATACTGGACAGGTCCTTGACGTGGACAGTACAATAAGCTTCTGCAGTGGGTTAGCCCCAAAATTCGGATCCCGATTACTATAGCCTTAGCTCGCGGGTATCCAGCGAGTCCACAACTGTGCCCTAACCCCTAAACCCTAAACCCTAAACCCTAAACCCTAAACCGTGTCAGTCATGACCTAAAGACTTCAGTGCCCGGCACCGCGAAGCTTTGGCAGTTGCCGCACTGCTGCGGCGAGCCCCCGGAGACACCTGGGGAGACACTGCGTGGCCCGCGGATTCAGGGTTTAGGGTTTGGGCTTTTGGGTTTTGGGTTTTGGGTTTTGGGTTTAGGGTTTGGGGTTTAGTGGTGAGGAGCTACAGAGCTACAGGGTTTTGGTTTAGGGTTTTGGTTTTGGGTTTTGGGTTTAGTGGTGAGGAGCTACAGGGGTTTGAGTATCGACTTCGCGGGTCCCTGCTTCGAAAGGAGCTGTGTCCAGCTAGCGGCTGCAGACAAGAACGGCACGGGCCCTAAACCCTAAACCCTAAACCCTAAACCGGGCCTAGGGGCTTCGGACAACAACGGTACGGGCTTAGAGGAGGAGCCGGTAAGGCTTCAGAGCGCCGGTTACTCTCGCAGAACCTGACAAAAGCCGATGCTGCTCCAGGGCACTGGGCGTCCTCCGAGGGGACTTGGCCGACCTTGTTTCGGCAAAGGACTTTCCGGGACCTCCTCCCTACAGGGACGTGCTAAAGCCCTAAAGGCCCCCAAAACCTGCAACCCTAAACCCTAAACCCTACAACCCTAAACCCCAAACCCTAAACCCTACAACCCTAAGTCATGAAAATCAAAGACCCCTAGACCCCTACGCCCGAAACCCTAAGGCCCAAAACCGCAAAGCCCCAAAGCCCCAAACTGCCGAAGCCGACACCTCAAAGTTTCCCTAAACCCTAAACCCTACCCTCGACCCTAAAGAACACGACCTTTTCGGGGATCCTTCCTATGATTTCCTTATGCAGATCCGTAGAAAGAGTAGGAGTTTTTTTGGGTCCAGGTAAACCATACCCAACCCAAAAGCCCACCCCTAAACCCTAAGCCCTAAACCCTAAACCCCAAACCCTACCCAACCCAAAAGCCCACAGCTTTGAGTTTCAAATTCTTGTCTCCCCAAAATGTGAAGCCCTGGCCTGCTGCTCTCGAGACAGATTCAGAGCGGCTCCAAATTCCGTGATGAAGGCGCCTCGCTCGAGATATAAGGGTTAGGGTTCAGGGTTCAGGGTTTAGGGGTTCGGGCTTAGGGTTTAGGGTTTCGGGTTCAATGTTTCTTTAATTAGGGTGGACCTCAACCCCCAAAAGTAGGTAAAATACTGGCCCAAACCCCTGAAAGACTACTGTTCTACATACTGTTGGGGTCCAGGTACCTAAACCGTAAGCCGCAGGGCGAGCCTTTGTGATGCATAAAGGTTCGAGTCCGGACACGTGCTACGGATGGTGGGGGTATTGCCACTTTCACCCTTGGCAAAGGTGCTGTGATCGTGAAGAAAACTGCTTTTGCATCCGAGAGGCGATCCTGGACTTCAGACACATCCTGTCTGCTATCAGGGGCAACCACTCAGGGATGACTCGTGTAATGTATGCAGCCCTGGAATAAGGCTTCTTTCGTATTTCGAAATAGAGCTATAGGGACTATAAGGAGATGACTCGCATACACAACAACATGGCTATAGTTCGTCCTGCAAGACCTTCTGCTCGTAGGCATCCTCGCTCCGATGTCCTTCCTTGCTTCGTAAGCGCACAGGCACTTGGGCCCTAGTTCAGAAAGCTTAAAGCCTGACTCCCACCCTCCCAAATCAGACTGGTTTCTGGCAGCCAGTTCGGATAGAAGTGGTAGGCCAAGAAGCCTTGGCGTAGCAACTCACTCCATGCTTTTTGGAGGTGACTCGCAATGCAGCACTGTTCTTACCTGAAGCTCTTCCCCCTGGTTTAAGGGTTTCGGGTTTAGGGTTAAACTTGCCTGAGATAGAGCTGCATTGATACCTTGCTTGATGCATCATGAGTCTAGGGTTTAGAGCTTGACCACTTCTTGATTTTTGCTTGTGGCCCTGCTTGTTGCACTGCCCTAAACCCTAAACCCTATCGAAGACAATCCCAAATCCTCGGTACCCCACAGCTTCAGAGCACTACTATGGGTAAAGTATTTTTGACGGTAATGTAGCGGGCTTGATAATTAGAATAGCATTTTGGGGTATAGTATGCTGGAATTATAGTAAGGAAACCCCAAAATATTAGTACAGGTAGTTCTTCAGGCCCCATATTGCTGCACTCTGCCGAGTTTGTTTGTTAAACCCAACACCTAAGACTGCACTACCAGCCGAAACCCGAAACTCCTAAACCTTACTCTGTGTGCGTGTTCAAAGTCGCAGACTTCGACCTGCATTGCGAGTTCGGCAACCCTTACGCCCTAAACACCTAAACCCTGAACCGCGTTCTGGATCCCTAAGGAGATTCCAAGCAGCCTTGCCATCCCAGGCGATGCAAAGCCTTGCGCTCTGATTCGGGTCTACAAGGTTTGGGGCCTAGGGTAGAGGGTTTAGGGTTTAGGGTACAGGGTTTAGGGTTTAGGTTAAAGGGTTTAGGGTACAGGGTATGATGGGGTTGAGGGTTTACTGCTTCTTCGGGGACAAGTCTCCATAGTCTGTGAGGCGGACGCCTCAAAATCACAGCCCGAATGATTCAAGTTATAGTGGGTCTTCGAAACCGCGACAGCAAGCACCCACAACAATTTCCGAGACCCTCCTGAAACTTCAAACTCATCGACTCTTCCTAAGCGCTTGATTGAAAATGCATTGAAGCTCGCAGAGTCTAGGATTTCTGGCCGGGCTGCCCGAATGTCGTCTGCATAGCCCTTGCCGTCCTGGATTCAACAAAGGCACTCTGAACCTAAAGCCAAAACCCTACTTCTTAACCCCTTCCTTTAAATATCCCAAAGGACCGAAAACCGCAGAGAACTTAACCTGCAAGCTCCAGCTGCAAGCCCCATAAACTGTAAATATATATATATATAGCGCAACCTAAACCCTCTTACCTCTCTCTCACTCTCTTTCTCTCGTTCTCTCTTTCTTTCCCTCTCGCTCTCTCTCTCTCTCTCTCTCTTTCTCTCGCTCTGTCTCTATCTCTCTTTCTTCTCTCTCTCTCTCTCTTTCTTCTCTCTCTCTCTCTCTCTCTTTCTCTCTCCACAGGGCCAGAGTCTGACCGCCGGCAGACCCCTCAGACCTCTAACCTCTCTCTCTTTCTCTGCCTCTCTCCATATAGATAGATGGATAGGTAGATAGATAGATAGCTATATGATCATGGATATACATCTACATACACCGAAACCCTTGAAGAGTCAAGCACATCTCTCTGAAGATGCAACGAGCTTCCAGCACGCAGCGGCTGAGAGGGAGCTGGGCATGATGAAGGATCAAGAGCATGTCGTAGAGGTACCTGTAATTTAACGGATTCTTTGAAGGGCTTCTCTTAAGACTTTGGGGTGCACAGTTACCTTTTTTGGGCTTACTTAGGGTTTAGGGTTTAGGGTATGAAGTTTCGGGATTAGTTTTAGGGTGCAGGGCGTAGAGGT